TTCTCTCTCATTCTCTCTCTCTCAAATAAATAAATAAAATCTTAAAAAAAAAAAAAAAAAAAGAATGTGGTAGGGTGTTTGCTCTGCCAAGACTTGGCATTGTGGAGGTTTTAGAGGCAAGTTCTCACTGATTTACAAAGGGAAGGTAAAGAGCTGGTGGTGCCAAGAGATTATTATCCAACCAGACCGGATGCCAGATGGCCAGGTGAAGAGGACACAAGCTTGGAGAGCCTGCCAAGAGTGGGTGGTGGCAGGAGCCAGGAGGTCCACCTGGGCCTGCCACAGATATTCTCTATGGACTAATTCAAGGATCTGCCACTCCAGCCACAGATATTTTATGGGTTAATGTCAGAGCCCTTTAAGGTAGCCTAAATCACCCCCTTCAGCCAATGCCTCCCAAGCTATAGAAAATGTCCATTTGAGCCAAATCAAGATTATTTCCTAGTGGGGCAATGCTATGCTTAGAGAGGTTCTTGATCTTGTTGCTCACTAGAATCATCAGAAATAAAAAAGATGAATGCTCAGGCCCTACCCTAGATCAAATCTACCAGAATCTCAGGGGAGAGGGCTTGACATTGCATTTTATGAAAACTCCCATTTCCCATGTCATCAGATATGAACATTTGTACAAATCAGACAGCTTTCCTTGAGAAAGATTAAGACTTCCACGAGTTATCTATCTAGAACACAGGATTTTAAGAATTAAGTCCTCAAAATAAACTCATGAAACAGAACAATAATCCTTCTTTAAGATGAAGACATTGAGGTTCTAGCTCAGTAAGCTGACCAAAGTCACAGAATAGATGAAAGAGCTGAGATGAAAACCTGGGGCATTTGACCCCAAATGTACCTAATTTATAGCTGGAAGGGACCTTGCAGGTCAGCATAGACATCATGCTATTTAACTTTTAGAACAGCTGGTGATAATTGTAGGCCCTAATGATAGATAGGCCCTGAATAAAAGTTACACTGGCTGGCTCAGGGCTGCAGTTTTCCTGGGCTACTAAGATTTGTCAGGCTGAACAAGGGGGAGCAAATCTGTGTGTTCCAACTGAGATATATAAAAGAAAGCTTCCTGTTTCCCTCTCTGTGTCTTGGGGGAGACATTCTCAGGCACATGGGATGCCCATGGCATCCAGAACTGGAAGGTTCCAAAAGACACATGTAGTGCAAGACTTAGAATCTGTGCCTGGTGAGAATTCACTAAATGCATTGTTCAAATATTTAGGTAAAGAGCTGGAGGAAGAGCATTACATTCAGAGGGGACAAAATTAAATTGAAGAAGAGAAAGATGCAATAATATGCATGTTCTGTTATCTTACCTGAGAAAAGAAAAAAGAAAAAAATTCTTCCTAAAGGCATCTATGGATCATTCCTCTTGTATGTTTATGAGCATCATATATATTAACACATGGCTAATGTTTTATCCTTGCTAATGTTGCATTTCTCTGTGTGGTAGTAACATAAGAGAGTTAACTTTGTACTCCCCTGAAGTTAAATAAGTAATAACCCAGAACACATAGACTCACAGCATTTCTTTTCCGTCAGGATCAGAAAACACAGTCTTGGGTTATAAAAACTATGTAGCAATATGGAAAATGCTTTTGATATTATTTCAGATTAAAAAAAACCCCCGCACATTTAATTTGTAGGTACTATGACTGCAAAAATGTTAAGTATATGTAGTTATGTGTGTATTAATGGAGAAAATAAAAATTGGAAGGAAATTCATTATGAGGATAATTTTGAAAATCTAATTTTCTAATAATGGGATAAGAGAATTTCCATCCTTTCTTTTTTTTTTTTAAAGATTTTATTTATTTATTTGAGAGAGAGAGAATGAGAGAGAGAAAGCACATGAGAGGGGGAGGGTCAGAGGGAGAAGCAAACTCCCCGCCGAGCAGGGAGCCCGATGCGGGACTCGATCCAGGGACTCCAGGATCATGACCTGAGCCGAAGGCAGTCGCCCAACCAACTGAGCCACCCAGGCGCCCTCCATCCTTTCTTAAGATGTGGGTCTTGTTCAAGATAGCTGGGGCTCCCTGTGGTCTTTTCTGTAAGTGCAGAAGATTCTAGATGATATGCTTCTTAGAGAAAGAACATGGTGCAGAGTAAAGTAGAATGGGACAGGAATCAGAAAGCTCCAGTTCTAGCCTTGCCTTCTAGGGAATGCTGTGTAATCTTGGGGAAGAAACTAAATTTCTTTACCTGCCAGGGATTTAGTGATAGCTGTACCATTGGATCAAATGTGAAGGAAACATATGCAAAAAGCTCCAGACCAAAGTTGCAAGGTTGAATCCCCATAGGGGCCAGGCAATTAATTTAAGAGTATTAAGTGTGCTGGGTAATTCTGACATAGATGTTCTTTGCTTTATAACTATTTAAGATTCTTTGATTATCACAAAAAAGTATATTCTTCCATTACTCTTGAAGCCTGCAAGCCTTAAGGCCCATCTTGTTTTTGCACCTTATAGAAACATGGGCATGACAACTATTTCTCTTTCCTTTAACTGTATTTTGGAAAAGCATGCATCATGGACATGCTGCTGGTTCTCAGTTCAGTGATGGGGGTAAACAGAGAGGGGGATAATCTGTGATGAACAGAAGACCACATGCCCAGTCTAAGGAGCATCAACTCCATCATTCAAGCCAATTATTGCCACAAGGAAATGTTGGCTAGTGTGGAGAAATTTTCCAATTCCTTTTTAAAAAGAGAAGCCAGAAATCTATATGTTTATATGAAATCTCCCAATTTCTAAACACTGAACATTTAAAATTAACCAGAAGTGTATATGCCTAATAAAACACATAATGCAGATTGCGTATAAGACCAAGGGCTACCATTTTGAGAGCTCTTCAGGATTTATACAGTCTTTTCTCTTTCATACCCCAGAGCCCCCTCCCATCTATCCCCAAAAGAGGCCACTTGCAACTTGAAGAGTAAAAGACAGGTACTTACTATGGAGCTGCTGAAGGCCACGGGAGGCTGTGAGCTTTCACAGTGCCCCACAGACCTTTGTCGGGAGTGGCCCTGGATGGGTACCTGGGCACTGTGGCACCTCCTCAGAGGCTGAGCCCATCTTTGGCCCCTCAGTGTTGCTGGGCCCTGAGCCCATCGGGCTGGGAAGGACAGGCACTGGTACTGGGTCCACTCTTCACTGTCTGAGTCAAGCTCCTTTGGGGTCTCTAGTCGCTTGGCTGCAAGAAAGGAGTACTGCTGTTATACCAGGCATACCTTGGCCAAGTCATGGTCTGAGGGGATCCCAGACTCTAGGGCTGGAGGAAAGAGCACAGAGTCAGAGCACTTTGCTGCTCTGGAGCATGGCAACTGGACTACCTCGACTGGAGAAAGAGGAGTGCAACTAAGGTGCACAGATTCAAATCCAGCTGTACTACTTCCTAGCTATGTGACTGAGCTTTGACTAAATGTGTGCCCGTACCTAACTCATAGGGTTGTTTGGAAGACTTGATAAAATAGTGTGTCACAGCGACTGATATACTCTAATACTGGTCATGGTAGTTGTTACTATTATTAAAAAGAGATCAGAAGCTCCCATGTAAATGGTTACCACCATGGCAAAGGTGATTGGGCTACCCATAATTTCTCCCCCTTTCTTTTTCTCCATTCCTCCCACTCAAAAGAATGAATGCTGCTCTTTTGAGAGTTTCTGCTCTCAGTTAGAAAGCATGTGTGGTGTGTTTGTGGTGGTGATGGTGGAGGGCTGCTGAGGAAATCAGGTCAGCTTTACAGGCCACCTTCAGTCCATGTGTGATGACAGTCCAGGCATTGTTCAGCTATACCTCCGAAGTCAAAGCTCTGCCTCAGTAAAAATCCAAAAGATCAGTTAACATGGAAGGCTTTTCCTGGATGTATTGAATCTGATCATACATCTACACTGAGGCCTGTCCTGACATGTCAGGTAAAGTGACCCCCCAAATTCTTAAACCTTGGCTGTATAACTGGTACATAATTTGGACATGTCCCCAGTCCATTCCCGACAGATAACAACCCTGTGTGTAAATGGCACCAAAGACCGACTGGAGGGCTACCACACAGGAGATCACTGATAGCCTTTGCGAACAAAGGAAAGTTTATAGGTGATAAGAACACAACTGATCTAGGAAAAGGAAGCCCACAGGGATATAGGAAGCAATCTGCCACAGAGCCAAGAAACCTCTGTGGGGAGCCAGGAAAATGTCTTTCATTACCATTCTTTTAGGAGAGCAGGGTGATTCATTTAGAAAGAGTGGTGAGGGCCCCTGGGAACCCTCGTACCATTTTCTTGGTGAGAATACTCGCTGCCCATGATAGTGCAACGCCGAAAGACCATCTTGTTCTCAGTCAGTGTCCCCGTCTTGTCAGAGAAGACATACTGGATCTGGCCCAAGTCCTCAGTGATGTTGAGGGCTCGACACTGAATGGACAAATTGGTCTCTTCATCATACAGGTCAAGGTCATTGTGCAGGAAGAAGACTTGCCCAAGCTTCACCAGCTCAATGGACACGTACAGGGAGACTGGGATCAGCACCTGTGGGGAGATTGATTCCCACAGTGTCAGAGACCAGGCCAGTGCCCTGTCTCAGAACTCTCACCAATGGGTAGCAAAGGCAGTTAATGGAAAGCTGAGGTCAGCTCACATGATGGACTTTCTCTGAGAAACTAAAGGTCAATGACTTCATGCCTCCCTTGGAATTCTTAGGGGCATCTGCAAAAAAGGTGCCTTCTTCACCCAGGGAAGTCTGGTAAGGAGTACGCACTCACCATTGGTTGTTTAATGACTGAGTGGTTAGGGGGTGAGGAGCTCTAGTGCCTCTGTCCAGAGTTTCCTGATGCCTCTCAGATCTCTATACCACCAAGTGCTCTCGCTCACTTTTATATGTATTCAGACCCATTGTTGATTACTGTCTCTGATTCAATACCTAATATCTCCTGAGTGCTTGCTGTGTGTCAGATCCTATGCTAGGTCCTGGAGATGGCAGCAAGCAGAACAAATACCTGGCTTTGAAGACCTCACATTCCGGTAAACAAATAAAGAAATATATATCGGGCAGTGTAAAAGAAAAGTCAAGAGGTTAGAAGGTGGTGACTGGAAGGGATTCTTTTATAAACCATGACCTTTGAGCAGAGGCCCGAAGAAATGAGGGTGTGAACCAGGAAGTTACCTGTGGGAAGAGGAATATTCTGGGCAAAGACTGGGGTGGGAGTGGGCTGGGTAATTGAGGGGAAAGAGTAAGCAGGTCTTGTATAAATGAGCAGGAGATGGCTAGGAGATGAGGCCAGTGGGGAAGTCAGGGTCCAGATCATGTAGGGCCTTGTTCACTGCCATAAGGACTGTGGATTTCTCTTTGAGCAGTTGTGAAACCATTGGAGGGTTCTGTGCAGAGGAAGAGTATGGTCCAACTCACATTTAAAAAAGATTACTCTGCTAAATGAATGAATGAACTAAGGACTGAAAAAAGTTTACCTGTAAGAGGACAACAAAACACCCTCAAATACTACAAGAAACTGAATGTAAATGGAGCTTCATGAAAACAAAACTGCAACTTCCCTCATCTTTTCATTGACTGTACCTCCTTACAGAGCCTGAGGAATTTATTCATCTTTTTATTCCTACTGCCCCTTTCTTGTAGGTGCTCTGTTTTGTGTTTTCTCCTCTATAGGGCCAGTTGTGTTTTTTCCCTCTCAATCTATCAGATGCTAAAACACTAACCTGTGGTTTCTTTCTCCCAATCCTTAGGGCTTGACAGTTCTCTCTAGTTCTCTGAGCTATTTTATCTTCTTCTGTTCCCAGGTCATTAGGATTTTACCTGTTCTATTATATCTGGCAAAGGGGCAGGTACACTTAGATTACTACTATAATCTTACTCTTAAATAGAAAAGTCTGATAAATATTTTCCTTCACTATTATCTTGGGGGCAAGGTTCCTTCCACAAGGTAGGGCTGGTCCTGACATTACCCCGAATGTGAGGACTTTCAAAGACTCACAAGAAAGCAATGACCATTTTCTCATCTTAGTTCAGTTAGTTCTTTCTTGGGGCCAGCACTGCTTTTTCTTTATTTCACAAAATTGTGGAGGTATTGGTCACAGGTCTTCTTGAGCCCCCAGCTAGGGAGGGCTTCCTACCTGGAGCAGGATGATCATTGTAAGGAACATGTAGAAGCCTCCAAGGGCGAGGGGAAGGAAGCTGCCCTTGGCATCTGGCACATCGAAGGGAGGGTGTTCTTCAAAGGTCCCATTCCAGAGGCGGTGACCTGAGAGTGGGCAAAATCAGAGATTAAGCAGAATCCTCACCTAATTCTATATTAGTCTAATTAAGGGCTACCAGCTGTTAATTTATTCCTGGAAGTGACTGTGCTTTGGAGGATCCCACCCTTATTCTATACAGCCTAGTTCTGTGTGTATATATTCATCTAAAGTGGTCCTTTGCATACCCTACATTTCAATCCCTTGATGGCATTAAAGTCTGTCTTACTGGGAGGAGACTAGCATGGGGATTGCTTATATTTTGATGAAGTCCTGTTATATAGGGATTGGAAAGAGGAAAAGGGACACAAGTTCTTTTCAGTTGTGTGGCAGAAAGTGCATGGCTGGGGATCTTGACAGACCCGTAAGCTAGCCCCTCTTCTTCCCCCATGCATATACCCATCCATCCATCTACCCATCCATGTGTTCACAGTTCATCTATCCATCCATCCATCCATCCATCCATCCATCCATCCATCCACAGTTCATCCATCCACACACCATCCACCCATATCTCTGTTAACCCACTCTTTCCTGCTGCCCTCCCTCCCTCACTCTATCCAACATTTATTGATTCAGGAAGGAATCAGTCTCATCTCTTGTCTTTGAGGAGGTCCCTAACAAGTCAGAGACCAGATGTAAAGGGACAAATCCCACACAGTGTGAGAGGTACCATGCAGAGTGTGGAATGCTATGAGAACTCACAGTAACATATCCAAATGCAGACTGAGCCCCGTTTCCTTGTCCGCAGATGGGGATAACCACATTCATCACTTAAGGATTAATAAGAGGAAGTGCTACAGAGCTTTCTGAATCTCAGTTTTCTCATCTATCAGTTAGTAATAATACCTCCTCTGTAGGGTTACAGTGAAAATAGAATAACCAAATGTGCATAATGCTCTCAGCCCCAGGGTAGGAACTACCGGGAATAAAAAGCATAGGGGTGGGACACATGGGTGGCTCAGTTGGTTAAGCAGCTGCCTTTGGCTCAGGTCATGATCCCAGGGTCCTGGGATCGAGCCCCACATCGGGCTCCCTGCTGAGTGGGGAGCCTGCTTCTCCCTCTGCCTCTGCCTGCTGCTCCCCCTGCTTGTGCTCTCTCTCTGTTAAATAAATAAATAAAAAAACCTTAAAAAAAAAAAAAAAGCACAGGGGATGCTGCCCTGTCCCCAAGATGCTTCTTTGCCCAGGAGGTTTGGCCCAATACCATTACACGGCAGAAGAAAGGAGACTTACAGACATGAGGTTATTTTAAGGTAATATTATAGAGCAAATAACTCTGGCCTTCAAGGGAACCAGGGAAGGCTGCATGGAGGAGGAGCCCTTGAGGGGTCCTGGAGACCGGGAGGGTATCTGGTGATCAGAAAGGTCTGGGGAGGGCATTCTGGGCAAAGAAAAAAGAAACATCATCTTTACACAGTCCAAGTAAGCATGTGATAGAGAACTCTTGAATGACACTACTTGAAAGCTTTCACAGCGGGGGCTGTGCTTTAATTAGGCACCACCGGAGGCCTGTCACTGTGTATGAGTAGTGTTTCTCAGACAGCATACAATTCTGCCCCTCCCTGTTCCTGTCTCAATTTATTTATTATTTTGGGCAATCTGCCAAGCAGATTGTGGTTTCCCTATACCTTATCTCACTGTGTGACCTTTTAATCATTAACTTCCTTTCTCTAGAGACACAGTGAGATGATCTCAAATGTCCTTTCCAGCTCTGATATTCCCTGAAAAACCTGTTCTGAAGCAGAGGCAATAGTTCCTGCAGTGTCTCTGAGGTATGCAGGTAGCCCCACACGGATTGTGTTATTCCCCTACTTCACTGGCCCTCTGGGTGTTCTCCTCCCAGCTGCAGGCCACCCTCACCTGGAGTGCCATTAGACACATCTGGGAAGCTTGCTTAAAAACCTCAGGCTACTCACAAAACTAAATCCCACGGTCTTCACCATGGTGGCACACAAAATCTCCCTGGGCCCTAGGAGGTCTTATTTTTTCAGACACAATCTTCCAAGAACAGTGATGGGCACAATTTCTGACCAAGGCAAGTAAAGAGTAAACACCATTGCCGCCCACTGGTTTGGGGTCAGCAGGGGGTTCCGGACTTAGCACATTAATTTTTCCTCTTGTTTGTCCCTGGTTCTTTTTGGGGTCTCCTTTAAGGTCCTGAGGACCATCCTTAGAGAAAGTAGATAAGAGGAAGTGTCCCTCTTTGCCTATACTCTGAGAATCAACTTAAATGGCTCAGATTATTTGTGTCTACACCTCCTGCAGCTTTCCACACTCAGCAGTTATAGAACATGGCTGCAGCCTGGTTCTAATCAGGTCTCCATGCTAGGCTTTGCTCTTGCCACACCAAAGAACCAAATGCTCCGTTGCATAAAATTATTCTTCCTACCACTGTGCTTTGCTTGTGCTGTTCCCAGGGCTAAGAATGATCTCTCTCTTTTCACAGCTGCCTCATTCTGCCTCTGGCATCTACCTCCTGTGGTGAATGACAACTGCATTCAGGGATCAGCTCCATGTACCTCTTCAAGGAAGACTTCCTCCCCTGATGCTCTCATATTACTAATATTAGGGTGAATAATGACCTCCTCCAATGTTCGTACCCTAGTTCCTTGGCCCCATCAATATGCTATCTTACATGGCAAAAGGGGCTTTGAGAATATGATTTAAGTTAAGGGTCTTGAGATAGGGAAGAGTATCCTTGATTATCCAGGTGGGCCCAATGATGTAGTTATAAATGTCCTTATAAAAATGAGGCATAGGGAGATACTACTACGGAAAAAGGAGAAGGAAGTGTGAGCAGAGATTGGAGTAATGCACTTTGAAGAAAGAGGAAGGAGTCACTAGAAGCTCAAAAAGACAAGGGACAGTCTCCCCTCAAAGCCTCCAGAAGGACTGAGCCCTGCTGACCCTTGAACTAATCCAGTGGAATTAATTTTGGACATCTGACCTCCAGTGCTATAACAGAATAAATGAGTATTGTCTTAAACTACTAAATTTGGGTTGTCTTTTTATAGCAACAATAGAAAACTGAGGCAGTACTTTCATGCAGCCCTTACTGTGTAGGACAGATTATATCAATTCTGTTCCTGTGTTGGACTTCTTCCTGCTAAACGATGAGCTTTTTAAGGAACAGTCCTCAGACTAATTCATCTTTTTATTTTCTTTTTTTTTTTTAAAGATTTTTTTTTTTTTTTTTTAATTTATTTGAGACAGAGAGAATGAGATAGAGAGAGCATGAGAGGGAGGAGGGTCAGAGGGAGAAGCAGACTCCCTGCCGAGCAGGGAGCCCGATGCGGGACTCGATCCCGGGACTCCAGGATCATGACCTGAGCCGAAGGCAGTCGCTTAACCGACTGAGCCACTCAGGCGCCCCCATCTTTTTATTTTCTTATGCTAAGAGAGTGCCTGGGTTCAGTAAGTATTTCTTGGAGAAATAAATGATAGATGATATTCCCAATACTTAGAGTACATAATACTTTCAGTAGGTTTTCATAAGCATTTTTTAAAAAGTAATCTCCGCCCCCAACGTGGGGCTAGAACTCAGGATCCTGAGCTCAAGAGTCGCACGCTCTACAACTGAGCCAGGCAGGTGCCCCCACAAGCATTTTTATTTGATTGATATCCTATTAAAATACAGAGTGGGATTTATTTTTTATTAACTCTATTTTATAGATGAGGAAATTGAGACTCAGAGAGCTGAAACAACTTGCCCAAAGAAACAGAAGTTTACTGTGGTTTTGTTCTTTCCAGAACATTCCATACCTACAGCTCCAATGAGGCACATGAGGAAGAGGAGCCCAATGCAGAAGAAGATGTCTGTGTTCATGCGCCGCTCAATCTTGCTGCGTTTGTACCGTGGGCCACTGTTGTTCAGCATGGCTTTTGTCTCGTGGCCTTTGAGAGAAAATGAGGTAGTAAGTCTTTAGCATCTGTTTTCCTCTGGCCTGGATCATATCCTTAGCTCTTCTCACAGGAGCTTATGGTATAAGAGAGGCTTCTTCCTTTAACCTAAATCTTTCATGCCTCAGGGAGACTGCTGAGAACAGCTGTAGAGGCCTCACACAATTTGTCACCATGTGTTTACTGAGCATCACCTCCACACCAGACACTGCGGTGCACACTGATAGAGCTACTAAGCACAGGTTGTACACTGCACAACTCAAGAAACACCCTTCATTCTGTAGTTGTTGTAGATTTATAGGTTTAACATGATAAATTTCTGCAAATGATAGTAAGCTGTCTGGAGGAGGGGCTTTTTTTTCTAATTTGCACAAAGGCACTGTTATGGGCTAATGGTAGGATACAAGGATGAGACAGATGACTCACATTTTGGTGAAAATATTCAAGAAAGTAAATAAATAATTACAGTTAGTAATAAGTCCCATGAAATAAACAATGGGCTGATAAATAAGAGATGGTGGTAGAGAACATGGTCAGGGAAGGCTTCTCAGAGGAGGTGACATAAAAGGGACATCAAAAGGTAGAGAAAAGAGTTGGGAGAACATGGTTTTGGGCTTGGGGAACAGTATGTGCCAAGGTCCTGTGTCAGGACAGTGCCTGAGGCCAGTAGTTTTCATTCTTGTTTCTTTGCCTAAGGTGTTGGTGTTGCTTGTAAAAGAGTGGTAGGGGCCAAAGGCCTCCATCCCAGTATTAGCCTTGAGCCACTTTACACTTATCTTGGAGTTCTGCATAAAATTTTGTTCAAAGAGGACAACAAAATTTGAAAACTACCAATGTCATCCAGTCACTCTTGTTCCAGTTGGAGACCAGGGACCAAAGAGTAGAAAGGACCTGCCCAGAGGAAAGAGCCATACTGAGAGCCCAGGATTCTGATTCCTATTCTTTCTCCTTCTACCAATTCATGGTACCCAGGCCATACAGCTAAGAGCTGAGAGCCAAGCTGAGATTTTGTCTTTAGACAGAGCCTGTCCTTAGGGGCTGCTAAACTTAAACACCATGCTGTATTCCTCAGCAAATTAAAAAAAAAAACACCACATATTTGCTGTGCAAAATTAAAGAAAACCAATATATCAGCACCAGCAGTGAATGGCTTTAATTCTCTTTAGTTGGTTGCCTTGTGGATTTAAAGTGGCAACAAAACAGCAGGAGTGAGCAAACTCTGGGCTTATTAATCAGACTCAAGTTGCTGTAGTTGTGAGGGGGATTTCCACAGCAATGAGCACAGACTGACTGCGTTCATCAGCACTGTGGCCTTCCCACCTGCTTCAGGCTCACCTCATGTCAGGGGTCCTCAGACCTCCCTCTTTTTCCACCTGCTCCTCACCTTCTGAGATCCCTCTGTTTTTGGTAAATGGTGGGCTCACAGGGAAGGCAGTATGGTGTGATGGTTGGAATTTGGTCTCTAGAGTCAGAGCTTATCTCTGTAGAGACTTGACATTGGGTTACAAGGAATTAATCTCAGGAGACAAATGACCTTGGGTGAATTAATCCCTTTGTACCTCAATTCCTCATCTGGAGAATGAGAGATAACAGTTGTGTATGTGCGTTTGGGGCAGGAGAGTGAATTAATATACACACAGTACTTAAATTACTTCCTTATACACGGTAGGGGCTCAAGAGATGTTTGCTGTGAGGAGCACACACCTTTATGTTGGATCTCTTCCTTCTGGGAGGCTCACTTTGGTCTTTTTGGGTCTTTGACTCTGAGGTGCTCCTATTTTGTTTATCCATATTATCAGAGAAGAGAATATGACTCTAGGTCAGTTGCTTCCAACCAGGGCTGATTTTACTCCCCAGGGGACATCTGGCAATGTGTTGAGAAATTTTGAGTTGTCACATCTTAATGGCATCTTGAGGTCAGGGATGCTGCTAAACATTCTACAGGCAGCCCCCAACCACAAAAAACAATCTAAAACAAAATATCAATAGTGCCAAGGTTGAGAACCCCTTGCTCTAGATAACTATACTAAAACAATCAGTACCATTTTTGTACACACTTTTTGAGACCTAATATGTGCCAGACACTGTGTTAAGCCCCTTTCACAGACAATCTCATTTGACCCTTATAATCCTACAAGGTGAGAACTATTAGTCCCCTTGTGTTGAAAGCTTAACCAACATACTCAGGAACATGTAGCCAGCCAGTAGATTTCACCCCCAGGCAACCTGACTCCTCAGAGTCATGATTCACTCTCTCCCAAATTTGTCCCCTCATTTATCATGCTCATCACTCACTCAGAAATTTGCTTCTGATCAGGCAGAGAAGCAAACTCCAAGCCCATGTGGGATTTTTTGGTGAGGTGGGGATTGCTTCAGAGTTTATCTTTAGTAGGTCTATCAGATGGCATTGAACTCCATTGCCAAAGACCCTTGGAAAGAGTCGCCTGAACTGACGAATACAATCCCCCTCCACCAAGTTAGGGAAAGCTAGCTAGACCGGGACATTATTTTTTTAAAAATCTGTTTTTCTTTGACAGTTCCAGAAAGTGAATCTTCAGGTAGACTGATGTTTAAATGCTCTGCCATGTCCATCAAAAGTGGGGTTCTATGAATTCCCAAACAAATCAAATCAAAGAAAAATAACAAACAAGCAAAATATTTCAAGATGTCCTAGTGAGTGGGAGACACAGGAAAACATAATCTAGGGTCTTCCACTAAAGGTAGACACTCCAGGGAGACTGTGTTTTCTCTACAGAGGAAGAAGTCTGCAGTTGTTGATGTAACAGCTGAAATTTATTGAGCACCAACCGAGTGCTGGGCGCTAAGTACTGGATAGATAGCAGTCCCAAGACGGTCCTCTAAGACTTCAGATTCATTGTGAGAAGTGCTGCTTTTTTTTTTTTTTTCATCAGAAAGCAAAGTCAAAGTGGAAAGCAGAGTTAGAGCAAAATGAATAAATAATACACACATAACTGCAGAAGCAACAACTAAAACCCACTGAGTGCTCACTGTTAGACATAATTTGTTTCACGTGTTGGGTCATTTGATCCTCAGGAGTGCGCTATGAGGCTGAGCCAAATGTTCTTCCCATTTGCATAGATGAGGAAATGGAGGCACAATTTTCACAAAAAGGTGGAGTTGTTAAGTTTGGTGAGATTATTCCTCAGGCTCAAGAAAGCACTCTTCATCCTGCCTTTGATTGGTGTCACAAAACCATCAGAGGTGAATGAGCACGAATCCCTCTTTTGTTCATATGACTGATGTTAGCTTGGAGTCTAAGTACATCTCTTGTGAACCAAGTAAGCTGCTGTGATTCTCACTTTGCTTAGCTAAGAAATAGGAAGTTTCTTGTACCCCTCAGAACTGTTGTGGATTCCCACTGACTGAAGGTGGATCTGGAGGGGCTGGGGGAGGGAGGATAAGGGGAAGGCACAACATAAGTCAGTCACCTGCATAGATGACGATGCCAACAGCCACCTCAGTGTTTCTGATGGTGCAGCCTCGAAGCAGAAGACTCTCACTGCCAAAGCCAGTCCTCGTCTGGTCAGGATGCTCCCTGGGGATGAAGAAATACTGGGAGTGGTTTGGTGGTCATTTCATGCTATCACTGGGTAGTGTCACAGAATTAGAAGTGATGAGTGGACACGATCCCTCTCCTCCCTCTTTATCAGAAGAGCAATGGATCTTATTAACTCGGCATCTGGTCTCTGGGTTCAAGTACAACCTTCATTGCTCCTGGGAGGCTTGTGTGTGTGGGCTGGACCATTAAAGGGGAATTATCCATCCCTATGGAAATCATCATTTATGCACCTCAAGGTCAGAGCTCTGCTGAAAAAGCGTTGGCTTCAGTTTTCTCACTCAGAATGGTTTAGTGTGTGGGAACTGGCTTCTGGCCCTACAAAGGCGGTGCTGTGTTCCCTCAGGCAGCGTTCCCATGCTCACTCTCACCTGGTTGCTGGGACCAGACTGCAGAGTCTGACTGCGCAAGTCTGCCGAAGCCACCAGACAGTGCCCCCCTCACACTGTGGGATGACAAGGCTCCTCTTGTTGGGAATTACATCTCTCACTTGCCTCTCTCCTGTACCACCCTCCTCTTGCTCCGTCCCTCGTGAGATAAACAGACCTCACAGGAGGCGGACGGCAGCCCTCTGTGCCACACGTGGGAGGCAGCTCCTGAAAGCCGAGCGTTTTTTCCTTGTTCTAGCTCAGGGCACTGCAGTTTTCCACCTCACACCAGAAACTTCTGAGGCCAGCCAACACCAGTTATTACCTGGGGTCTGACCCTTACTCCATCCTGATAAGCTTCCTTTGGGATATTTGAGACATTTAAATTCAAATATAACTTCCCCAAAGCATTAGGGAGAACAAAAAGAATAACAATCTGAACCCTTAGGGCTTTTCTCTTTTTAGTTCTTCAATACTTCATTTTTCTAGGTCTGGTTATAATTGTTTTCCATTTACTGACTGAGTGAATCATCACGACAACTTTGGAAGATAGGTTATGTTACCATACCCACTTTATAGACTGGGAAACTGAGGCAAGTTCATAGAGCTAGTAAATGGCAGAATGGGGATTCGAGTCCACAAAGTCTGGCTCCAGAGTGCTATACTCCGCTCAATATGCCTTTTCATACCAATTATTCCTTACTGTGGTTATAAACTAAGTTTGCTTGTATCATTTTCTTTGATTCTTCATACTTCCGGGAAGTCAGAAGGGTGATTATCCTTCTCGTGAAAAAGACGAAGCCCAGAGAGGGTGAGGTTAGTGTCACTAACCCAGAGAGGAGAGTTTTCTAAGGCCGCACACCTAATACATGGGACATCCTAGGACTCGGAGACCCGGGCCACAGACAGCAGCTGTGTCATGCGGTTTTCACAACACTAGGCTTCCCAAAGTAATGCCTCATTAACTTGCAATGAATCAGAGTCCTTTCCATTTGCAATTCTTCTGACTCTAACAAGAAAATGTCTGACAGCTGACTTGGGATGAACCAAATGTCGGGCACAAGGGATGGCCTCTTTGCTGGGGCAGGTGGCAAATTCTACCTGAACAGATGCCTGCAACGAATCCTCCTCTTTGCTAGGAGCTCAGGCCCTTCTCTGCCTGTCTCCATCTGTGCTGTCTGTGCATTTTAAAATAATTTGTGCTTAAAAGCCACTATTTATCTCGTATTGTTCTCATCCTTTCCCCTCTCATACTGTTCCTCACAATACAGGCGTGAGAAAAATGTGGGTGGAGAGAAAGCACAGACATCTGCCTTCCAAGAAGACCACTTAAGCCTCATTCCAGACCCGACTGGTCGACAGGTCACCTTACCAAGCTGAGCTCTGTTCTGCACAACAATGCAACACGTACTGGGGCGCCAGTGGGAAGACCTGGATTCAAGTCCTGCTATTGGCTGGTACCTATTGTGTGCCTTTGGATATATCTGAAAGTCTTAGATCATCCCTATCTGGAAAATGGGGATCATAATAGTCACTTCCCTGGGTGGTTGTACAGAGTGAAAGAGATGATGTTCCGTGCAAGTACTCTAGAAACTGTGAAAGCACTGTATGAGGGCATGTACTCTCATCGTTACCATCGCTCCTTTTTGGTCTGTCTTTGCATTAAGACCAGTAGTCTGATGTGGGAGCAGAATTACAGTCAAATTCCCAGGCCAAACTAAAGTTGAGGCATAAGAACAACACTGATGACTAGAGCACATCCACCATCGACCGTTTACTCTGTGCCATTGCTGTGCTGTGGGCTCTGCCTCTGATAAACTACCACATTCGTAGAACACACAAGTCCTATGATGTAGACCTTATAAGCTTTGTTTTACAGATATGACGACCAAGGCCCAGAGAGGTTAATGAATTTACTCAAAGTCACACAGCTTGTAAGTGATAAAACCTGATTTCAAACCCAAGTCTGTCAAACTCAGAAGTCCCTGTTCTTACCTGCAATGCAATACAAGCTCTTTTAGAACACTGACATCAGTGAAATCTTGCCTTTCCTGAATCAGAGTGTGGTCACGAGGGCGCCTGGGTGGCTCAGTCGGTTAGGCGACTGCCTTCTGCTCAGGTCATGATCCTGGAGTCCCTGGATCGAGTCCCGCATCGGGCTCCCTGCTCGGCGGGGAGTCTGCTTCTCCCTCTGACCCTCCCCCCTCTCATGTGCTTTCTCTCTCATTCTCTCTCTCTCAAATAAATAAATAAAATCTTTAAAAAAAAAAAAAAGGTTAAAAACAAAACAAAACAAAAACAAAAACAAAAAAACAGAGTGTGGTCACGATTTTGATGTTATTTCACCAGAGGTTTAAAAAGAATTAGTAAATTTAAGCCTGCAAGATAATTAACTGCCGCTCTGGCACCAAAAAAAAAAATAAATAAATAAAATAAGAAAAGTTTCCCAATGTCATTAGATTTCTTTAGCATTTCTTTACATCCTCAAGACCCGGACACTTATCTCTTTGGCCGTTTCAAGAAAAGATGTGTTCTAGCTACAAGGGAAAATAGCTACCAGCAGCACAGGGGCATTAGATACTTACATATAACCTTTAAATTTGTTGAGGTGGTTGTTGGGTTTCTCACACACGATGGTGTTGCAGAAATGTTCGGGTTCGAACTGTACATCCTGTGAGGGAGAGAAACACCCGGAAGTCATTAAGTCAGAGGGATCTAGTTTTAATAGGATCACTAGGAGAGCCAATAACTGTTAGAACCATCACAACTAAGGCAATCCCTGCTTTGTCACATCGTGATAGTTCTAAAATGTTAGAAGAAAAGTGAAATCCTCATTAAGAAGGAGGAAGCAGATGCACTGAAAATGCGGGAAAGTTGGAGGCACGGCAGAGGGAGCCCCCTGCCTGGCCAACAGTTCTCTGGCAGGTCTGGGTTTGAGTTTCCAGACCAGCGCCATCCAACAGAACCTACAGCAACGATGGAAGTGTTCTAAGTCTGCATGTCCAATACGGAAGCTCCTCATCACCTGTGGCTATTGAAATGTGGAAGTATGGCCAAGAAACTGACTTTTAAATTTTATTTAATTTTATTTAAACTTAAATAGCTACATGTGGCAAGTGGCTACCACATTGGGCAGCACAGACATAATCAAAAAGAGGTTACAAATCACACAACCTAGAGATAATCAGAATATTCTTGTGTATATAATACTTGTAGGGTTTAAAAATATATATATAATTAAAAAATATATAAACACCTACATGTATGTATGGGTACATATACATTATGCATTTCAAAAAATGAGGTGGTGTTCATATAAATCGGAAATTTTTACATGTAAAATTTTTATGCATGAGTGAAACCTGTTTATTATAGAAACCTGTTATATGAATGCCACCATATTCATTTCACCATTTCACTATGGCACATTTATATCATCTCAATTTGTTTTTCTATTATGAACATGCTGTGGAAATTGTAGCTAATAAAACACAATAAACAGCATATATTGTATTCGTTTCTGCCAGATGCTGAGATGACAACTTCACATATATTATTTACTTTTAAGCTAACAATTATTCTATGAAGTAGAAATACTAATTATCCCCTCTTTAGGGATGGAAAAACCATGGCTCAGAAGGGTAGGCAGGCTACCCATGGCCGCCACAGGACTGGGATTTGAATCCAAGTGTGACTAGAGGGTCCCCTGTCCTTTACTTGAACAGCACGCTGCCCCCCAGCGAACATACCTGTAGCAAAGTACTTCAGACACATGCTTGACTTTTTCTCCATGATTTCTCTTTTGTTAGGTATCTAGGTGTATAAAATCTTACAGTCCAATGGGGGAGGGGCACAAATGGAGGTGGGGGAGATCTACCCACATGGGTTAATGCTCCTCTTACCTTTTGAGCCTCAGTCTCCCATCTGTAGAATGGGGCTAACTCCACTTTTCCTGTCTATCTCATTTGTGCCCCAGCGGACAGAATCCGTGTGGAAAGTTTTAGCAGATGTAACATGCTATGCAGTAGAAGGAAGGAATGCTAAAGGTGGGGTGAGAAATGGTTTCCTGGGTAGAGCTTTTGAATGGGGACTGAATTTATTGCTGAAAGTTTCAAGGTACAGCTGTTCAAAGGGGCAAATTGATTAGAAAAAATGATAGCATTCTGGCTTCGTATAAATATACTGTCCATTGGATCTGTGGGGGCGCCAACATAAATAAACTCTCCACTCACTTGAAATAAATTACCCATCCAGGAGTTTCTAAAAATATGGCCCTTTTCTCTCCAGGTATCGATTCTTTCAGGGACAAACACTTGCCGAGTCCTGAGATGATGACAAATCACATTGTAATTTGTCAGCTGCTTTCATGCCCCTGATTAAGCCGTGTGCTTCACTCTGATCCATATCACTCGGCTCATTGCAGGCTTTCTAAATCCAAACTCATTTCAGATATGAGTGGCAGCGGGTCTCAGAGCTAATGATCCTGCTGCAGCGAGTGCCGGGCGTCTGTTGAATCATACCCCGCAGATGCTGGCAATGTGAGGTTGGCCTCTCTTGTCCCTGCGCTGGGGCTTCCCAGTGACCTTCTTCCTCAAGTGTCCCTTGTTCTCATTTTCTTCTGGGCACTGGCCTTGGGTCCTCTGTCCATCTCCCTCTTTTCCTGAGGAGGTGAACTCACCCTTTCTAGCTACCTGTCCCCTGGGCTCCTTACTTCCCTCCCCAAAATGGGCTGTAAAGAGGGGCATGTAGGTCTTGCTATCTTCAAAGATAAGCTCTCAGGATTGCTTGCTTTGAAGGACTTACTGTAGCCACTCCAGGGAGCTGCTAGGAGAGCCCAAGGACAGGAGGGCATGGGGGGAACTGCCAAACTCTACAAGGTCCTTATTTTAGCCTCATTCAGGAGTTTCTGAGACCCTTCTGATTCATTACAGCACAGATTTTCATAGCTTGTGGACAAAGCCCACCTAAACATTTCTTTCTGACTCAGCCCTTTACCTAAGAAAGCCCCACTAATAAGCAAAAAGGCCTGGGGAGCCCTCAAGGTCCAGGAAAAGATAGCCCCTTCCCAGAGAGGAGTGTGTGTGTCTCTGCAGCTCTTCAGGCCAGACCCACCTCCCTAGAACACTTACTATGTGCCAGGCACCTGTCATTAAGTTCTCACAGTAACTGTAGGAGATTTTGACAGATGGGCAAATAGAGACTGAAGTAAAGCAATTGTCTCAGGATTGGTAAGTAACCCCCATGACTGCGGTTCACATCATTGGAATCCAAAGCCAATTATCATCATCGTTGTTGCCATGGTCATCATTGTTACCGTCATCAATACATTTAATCCTCTCTGTCCTCCTGTTTTTTATTATTATTGCTTCAGCACTTACTGAATGCTTGTTATGTGCTAAGAACCAACTAAATATTTTATACATGCTATTTCCTTTAAATCACATAATAACTCTATCAGGCAAGGGACTATTATTATTTTTTAAAGATTTTATTTATTTGACAGAGGGCAAGAGAGCACAAGCAGGGGGAGCGGTAGAGGGAGAGGGAGAAGCAGGTTCCCCGCTGAGCAGGGAGCCCAATATGGGGCTCGATCCCAGGACCCTGGGATCATGACCTGAGCTGAAGGCAGAGGCTTAACTGACTGAGCCACCCAGGCTCCCTAGGCAGAGACTATTATTATCTCTATGCTACAAGTGAAGGAATTAAGGTTAAGGAGATCCCAAAGACCTACAGCTAGCAAAGTGAGAAGGTAGGATTTAACTGTGGGACTTCTGATGCCATACACTTTGCTCTCTTAAACAATGGTGTTATTTTGATGCACAAAGGAAAGATTTGTGTTTAAGATCTCCCCTTCGGAGGGGGGTGGAGGGATGAGGTAACTGAGGGATGGACATTAAGGAGGGCATGTAATGTAATGAGCACTGGGTATTATATAAGACTGATGAATCACAGACTTATACCTCTGAAACCAATAATACATTGTATGTTAATTAATTGAATTAAAATAATTAAAAAAAAGATCTCCCCTTGGCTCGATTTCCTTTCCTGTGTTCTTTTTCCACTTTCCATAATCTAAGTACCTGATATAATAAATAAATTTATATATGTGGAATTAAAAAACAAACCCCAAAAAACTGAGCTCATAAATACAGAGAATGGATTGGTGGTTGCCAGAGGTGGGGGTGGGTGGAATGGGTAAAGAGGGTCAAAAGGTACAAACTTCCAGTTAAAAAATAAGTAAGTCATGCAGTGCAATGTACAGCAAGATGACTATAGTTAATAATATTGCATTGTATATTTGAAAGTTGTTAAGAGAGAACTTAAAAGTTCTCATCACAAGAAAAAAAACTGTAACTGTGAGGTGATGGATGTTAACTAGACTTATTGTGATTTCACAATATATACAAATATCAAAACATTACGTTATATACCTAAAACTAATATAATGTTATAAGTCAATTATATCTTAGTAAAAAAATAAGCAAGCCCCAGTGCCTAGAAATCATCATTATTATCATTATCACGATCACCATCACCCTTCTTTTTTTTAAAAGATTTATTTATTTATTTGAGAGAGAGAATGAGATAGAGAGAGAGCATGAGAGGGGGAGGGTCAGAGGGAGAAGCAGACTCCCCGCCAAGCAGGTAGCCCGATGCGGGACTCGATCCTGGGACTCCGGGATCATGACCTGAGCCGAAGGCAGTCGCTTAACCAACTGAGCCACCCAGGCGCCCTCACCATCACCCTTCTTAATGTGGGTCAAACAAGGAAGATAAAAAATCTAAACTACATCATATTGTCATGCTGAACTTTGATTTGCCTCCATTAAATGTTTTTATTTGATTGTTTCTAAAAGACTTTTATGTTTTATGAAAGGTGTTTCTTATAGTCACTGGCTCACTCTCATCCTTTTTTCTGGTACCTACATACACATCTAGTAGGTAGGCAGTCAAGGCATTTCTAGACCAGGGTATCCCAATTGTTTGGCACTATTGACATTTGGAGCTGGATAATTCTTTGATGTTTGGCAGCATTCCTGGCCTTCACCAACTTGATACTAGTAGCACCCTCTCTTTCTGCCAGATGTGATAACCAAAAATGTTTACAGACATTCCCAAATATTTCCTGGGGTAGAACTGAGAATTGCTCTAGGACCAAGTCCAGGCTAAGGAGATATAAAGTTGCCCAGATTGAGAACACACTCTATCCTATCTGTCCATCAGGAGAGGACATGATAGGATTTTTTTTTTTCTTTTCTCTTTTTTTTTCCTCTTCAATTGGAAAAAAAAAAGGTTAGATTTTATGATTGGGGGTTCCTAATGACTTGAATGATGAGAAATCTGCATATATCACTCTGTCCTATATATACTATAGAAACTATTGTATAAGCATGGTGAGGTTTCCTTACAACATATGTACCATGCTAAGGTTAAAAATAAAAGGAGATTGATAATGAAAAGAAATGAATTCATTGCCTAAAATCTAGTAGAAAATATTTAGAAAATACTACAACTAATAAGCAATGCAATGTGTTATGTTTTCCAAGTGTATTTGCATTTTAAAGCAGGGTAACTTTGAAGGGTAAAGGTTAAGACACTACCTAGACTGGGACATTCTTTTGAGGATTTTACTATGTGTGTATGTGTGTGTGTATAAATATACATATACAT